TCAGTGGGTCAAATTCTGCTGTTACTGACAAAAAGCTGAGTCAAGTTGCATGGCTAATACGCATTAATGGGTAAAAATATGTTGTTTCTAACAAAAAATTAGGTCAACTTCAGTTGTCAGTAACAAATAACTTTCAAATTTTACCTTCTCCATCTTGGATACATTTCTCTTTCCACAAATAACAGGGTCATGCTTGGTTGTAATATTCTTCCCTTTACCAGAGTAACCAGCCTTGTTGAAATTAGGCACGGGTTCATCTAAAAAAAAAGAGAGTTGGACTGCATCCAAAGTACCAGCAATTATCTATAACTAATTAAAAGCTAGTATTATGATAAACACAAATTTCAAACATGCGCCTAATTGATGTATTTTTTCTCATAATTTACAGTCATATGCAGAAGCATACAGTACTCTGATATTAACCCAACTTATTTTTCAAATATTTCTTATATATATTTACTTATGCTTCTCGAGATACTCATACAGATTCATTTAAAAGCTGTAATAGTTTATTTAAATATGGCTAGGCAAAAATGAAACAAAAACATCTTTCCAACATTTCACAAATTTTGTTCAAATGATTAATCTGGAAAAAGTTGACCTAAAGGGGAGTGGCACGAGGGTGATGTTTAATTACATATAAAACTATAGGGTATGGTGGGGGTGATAATTTAAATACCAACCTTTGTAGACATTGGTCACCCACGTTAGGTCGTCATCCTCGCTGTCACTGTCTTCCTCCACATACGGGTGAACTGTGCGATAGTTGGAGAAAGACAAAGACACTGGAAAAAGTAAAATCAAAAATATCTTCTATTCTGTTGCTACTCATCAGTTACTTTTTACACAGAAAAATCACATAATTGATGATATCTCTGTTGAAGTGATCAAGGCCCTTTTTGAAGGATTAAAATACAATGCTCTGAAGGTGAAAACCCTTCCCTTTAAGAAATGGTACTTTTAACCACCTTTGCAGAAGTGCAGGTGAAAATCTATTTGAGCCATTGATTAATCTGTCAAGAAATATTTCTATTTCTTATTGTTTACATAAGAAAAAAAATTCATTAAAAAAAGTCTTCAGTTTGATTAAACCCACCTTTACTCTGGCCATTCAACTTGGCTTCTTCCTTGGACAGCATTAAATCGTGTTCCTTGTCGTATTCTAACTGGAGTAACTGTGCCAATAAAAAGTCACTGTCTTCATTTGTCTCACTTCCTGGCTCTGGTAATATAGCTGACAGGTCTGGGACTGGCTCACTAAAATGTTGGGATAATAAAAGTAGAAAAGATGTTTCAATTGCAGTCAACAAAGCACTTTAGCTTGAGGACTGGTCTGATAAACTGTTGGTCCAATAAATTTGATCTCCTTCAGTTTAACATAAGCTCATAGTTACCAGTACAAGTTAATTAAAGTGGATTGTGGTGCATACTAGCATTAGCCATATTAAATATTGTAAGTTCAACGCAGTCTGTGTGAGTATATATGTGTGTGTGTGTGTGTGGGGGGGGGGGGTAACAGTTTAACAGTATCACAACTTGTCAGTGTGGATAAAATTGGTGCATTCGTGTAATTTATCAAATTTCTTTTAAGATATATCAGCAGTTTTGATCATGATTTTTGAATTATCATGGACTGTTCAGCTTTTACAATATCATTTAACATGTTCTTTTAAAGATATATTCATTGATCATAGTACCGAGCATGCCAGAAATGAGTATTTTCACTCACCTGGCCGCCTCAGACTGAACATTGATGACCCTCTTACTAACGTCCTCTTCGTCCCTTTCCTGTAACTCGTGAGCTAACTCTTCACTCATGACTTCCTCAAGTGAGCAGATAGTAGGTGTGGTTGCTGTTCCCCACGGGGAGGAGGTCTTACCCCAAACACTGGGTGTGTTTATTGGTCCCTGAGAACTTTCCATCACAGTAGCGTCCATATTTACAATGTCTTTTATAATATCTGTACAATATTTACAATGTCTTTGGTATTTGGCACTTTTAGTGATAAACCTGATTTATATACCCCCGAGTCCTCTTAGGGTTATAAATCAGGATTTGGAGTTGTTAACTCGTGCTTAAACTTGTTGCGAGTCCTCGTTGCTCTCCTTAGATGTAAGTAGTGCAAAGTTTTCCTTCTGTCTGCGATACTGTGCGCACTCTCTCTGTTTAAAAATAAGTCCTTCTGGATAGTTTACAACTCTATAAATATCACTAACTAGGTGAATACGTCACTTGGTTTCCCAACCAAGTGAAATTGCACAAAAACTACGCGCTATTCTACCAGATTGCACAACAACAGCGACAACCGGAAGCAGCGGTTGGGTCGCTTCTTGGTTATCTATGAATTGAAAAAGTTGCAGAAGTCTGGAACGAGAAAGCGATTGATGTAAATATGTAATTGATCATAAGTAATGATAAGACCAAATATATTAGAATTATTTTTATAAGTAATAAAATCGAGCATCACTGATAAGACTGCGTTTTTGTAGTTGTGAATATAGAGCATATTGAGAAGATAAATTTAATTTATTGAAATCAAAATTAATTTGACTAACATCTTTGGTTGTGCTTATCAACAGTATTGGATATTGAGACATCGGAAATAATGGTACAAATGGTTATTTAAACCTGTTATGTATTCATCTTTAAATAAATGCGTGTTTATCGGACACCCACTGCTGGTTTGACAAAGCTTGACAAAACGAAACTGCCGGCAGATGGCAGCATGATCTGCACGTGCCAAAGCTTGTTTATTTCAAGATGGCAGCGGACAAGGTAAGTGAACTTCGAGCAAGTGTTTGGTAGATTATCTTAGTTTTCTCGCGAACCTTCCAATATGTGTAGCAACGATCACGAGGAATAATTTCAGAATTGTTAAGTTGTGTACATGACAAGTTTTGTCAGAGAGAAAAATCCGACCTTTGTGGTCTTGCATTAATTTTGGCTTTCGCCGGTGGAAATTCCCACCGATCCCCCTCTCATTGTCCCTGACACAGTGTGAAATATTTGACAGCCTGTGGTAAATCGGATGCAAAACTTTTTGCATGTCTTAAAGTGTAAGCACATGAGTGCATACCATATGACCAAAGAATGCGCATTTTTATCCGGCAATTTATTTACTAGCAGGCTTTAAATTTAACCCCCCCCCCCTTCAAACGATCACCCTTACTAATATACCGGTGCATAAACTAATGTTTTGTCAGCGGAGTACCTGTGTCCTGCAAGAATATGTATGGTTTTGTAACGCACAAATAGAAAGAGCTTCTGTGCAAAATTAGTATTTAAAAATGAGTATTTAAAAACGATAGCAAAAGTTTTAAGTTTAAAACACAAATTTGAAAAGTACATGTAAAATGACTTAGGGAATCTATAATTTATAACATTATTGGCATTTGTACAACAACGCATTTGGTGAAAGTAATGTCTGACCATCTTTATATGCTACCTCTTTTTTTTGTTCCCTATTAATATTAAGTAAAATTCTGATACGTGGATATGTGTACTAGTACAATATTAAATATGGCAGCCTTAGGCCCTATTCCCATAGATTTTAGATCGATCTATCCCCGCGGGGAGTCTCACTAGATTACTTTCAGATAATCCGACTTAAATGTCTGTCCCGCCTACTACAAGCTGTAAGAGGGTAATTAAAGTCATAATAACTCTTTGTTTTGGCCAAAAATTGGATTTTCCTGGAAAAAACGGCAATTTTCCCGTACTTACCAATGGCCAACGACCCCATTCCTGCATTCAAAGTTAATCCAGGGTTTTTTTCCTAAACGTACGGTTTTTTGTTAAAATCTCTTAAGAGATTTTAACTGACGGAGCTCTCTCTGACATTGCAAAGTCACTGGTGACCTACTTAAAACCACGGGAAAAGCAGACAACAACAACACTATATAAGATTCATGAGATATATTCGTCTTTTTGTTAAAAATGCATTTATATCCACAATGTGTGCCATTCTGGGCTTTT